AAAAAAATATTCTTTGGGGGCAACCAAATATCGGCATTTCACATTGAAACGAAAGAAGATGAAGGATTAAAATTCACGGAGACAATGTTTTCGATTAGTGAAGCATTATTTATAAATATAATACTGGCGTAATTTTTTCTTTTTTTTTTTCAAGTATCATTAATTTTTTGTTTGCAACAATTCACGCACATGGTGTTTTTTTTACTTATACGTAATGTATTTTGTGCGAACATCTCTTGGTTTTAACCACAATAAGAACTTCTTTTATTCTTTAATCAGTACAGTATAAGAGCCCTCCTGCAGCTTAAGGCGTCCGGGGATTCTGGGGCATTCCGTGAAGTCACGTTACACAATATATGACCCCAAACTTAAAAATTGAAACCTTTCACCTCTTACAATCAAGTTAATCCGGTAATGTCAAAATCCATTCAAGATCAATCACTTCTCCAAGTTGGTAAAGACCTATTGGCCCTTCTCAAAAACAACGCTCCATTACACGATGCGATAATTACGGTTGGCAGAGGTTCAATAAAAGCCAAAGATGGATCAAATTTTCGAAATTTCAAAGCACATTCGTTAATACTTCAAGCTCGCTGTGACTATTTCAAAGCATATTTTTCGTCATATTGGTCTAAACATAAGGATGAAAATGGAATTTATCAGATTGATTTGAGTGGGATGGGAATCGATCCTGAAGCATTTGACCATGTTCTGAGGTGTGTGCTTATACTCGCGTTCTTTGCTTAAATTTAGTCGGCCCTTTCACAAACATTTTTCTATCTACGATCAATTATCGATCTTTCCTTAAGCTACATTTACTCTGGATTCATTGAGTTCCATACTCTAAATCTCCCGTTAATTTCTTACCTTCACATCGTTCAAGCGGCAGATGCATTGAATATAGAACTACTTCTTGACTACACAAAACAATCTATTAGCGTTCCATCTTTGATTAAAAATCGTTTCTTGGAAATTCTCTTAGAAATTCGTGACATTCCCGGGTGTATTGACCTGGCGACAACCTGCCGAGTCTATCTTTTTCGTAATCCCAAGGTAATATTCACTTGTCCAATGATGACCTTGGAGTTTCTATCGGAACTCCTGCAAGAACCGATACTAGGATTAAATGAAGTAGCTATATGGGATGGGTGTTTGAATTGGGCGTTCAGAAACAACGAGAGATTGAAGTCAAGTTGGTCTGATGAAAATCCCTCAAGTTTGAGAGAAACAATGAAGCCGCTAATGCCGCTGATAGATTTTTACATGATTTCAAGTGATAATTTTATGAGAAAAGTTAGTAAATTCAAGGCGCTATTTGATGGAGAAACATATGACCAACTCTTAAGATATCATTCGAAACATATAAACTGGAGACAGTCTGTCCCATTGAAACCTCTACGCATTAATTCAAGGATCTTGGGAGAACAGGCGATTTTATTTCTAGCTAATTCCATCAAATCTAAATCTTCGTTCCCGATCCGGTATACCTCAATAGATGAAATTCCCTATGAGTTTCACTTTCTTCTTCGATCACAAGAGAACGATGGTTTTCACTCGTTAAAACATAATCCTAGATTTCCAATCCTAATATTAATCCTGTGTGAACAGCGATATGTCAAGGGTCGATTCACTCCAGTTTCAGTTGATACGAGCGGTGACTTCAAAGATTTTGACTTTCAATTTGAAACTACAACAGAAGATTTCAGCATCTCGAATCGACTGACATCTGAAGTAAAGCAAGCTGACAGGATCAATCTATTGAATTGGTTGGAGCTGAGCTCTTCTGAGGTTTTGGCATATTTGAAACGCAAGTTATGGAATCATTTGCGAATTGACATGTTTGAGATTTTTTCAATCATACCCAAATCCGTAAAGAGGTAATTATCTGAGGAGATTTTAAATAGTACGATGTGTGACAGGGGAGTAAATGAACTTCATTCATATGCATACAGTATTATTCAGATCATTTTGTTTTACACATTAATAAGTAATATAATAATAATATTGTAAATAATTAGAATAAAATCATAATATTAATCGATGGGAAATAGCATAAAACTTGTTCAATAAGAAGTACGAAAACAGGAATTTACATGATCGAGGATAAAAGTTCTGCAAGAATGAATCTTTATTCGGTGCCTGAGTCAAGAGCATTGTTGTGGCTAAAAGGTTAAAAGTAATCATTCTTTAATTCATCTTTTAATAAGAGAGTCGATATTTTTTTGACTTTAAAAATAACTCATTCCGGACATATTTTGCTTAATGTTCTTTTGTACATTATTTTGGCTCAAAACATTAGAAATTTTGTTATTAAATACAACTTAATTGCATAATCTATACGGTTTTTCAGTTCTATATCATCAATAAATAAACTTTAGTTATTACTTATTATTCTTAGTGACCTAAATAAGAAATTTTCAAAAAAATCATATGTTTAAAACTAATTTTCCTATCATTAAGACTGTTAAATTTTTAATACTTTACCATATGCTGTGCTGTATATCAATACTTCTAAAACATCTTCTTTATTTGCATTTTATTTAGACTTCGTTTAATCTAATTTAACCCATATTATTTACGGTTTTTTACATAAAATGAATTTTAAATTCGATCTAGTATGTAGAAACGTGAATTGCAGAATAATAATGATACGTTAGTAATAATTTGAATTTGAATTAAATACATTATAATGACACGAAAAATCGAAAAATAATGCGTACTTTTATTTTAAAAAGATTCGATTTGCAAGATTTTTAGTTAGCAAATTGTTGTAGGCACCTTTAATCCATCAAATCGATGGTTGACATCCCTTAGGATGTGATAATCCAAATGCCTGCAAATAAAAATTTTTAAAGATCACAATTTATAATTCTACAGTAACATTGCTGTATAATTTGTACAATTTGATATAGAATATTATTTATAAACGATACATCCTGTAACTTTTGTTCTGTACTTGATTAATTTCATTATTAAATTTATTTAAATAATTACTATCTCTAAGAAGAAAAAACGTAATTAAAAATAACTTTTTTTTTTTATTTGCTATTATCAAACTAGTTTATTTAATAATTACCTAATATTGATATTTAATCAACCTAATTAAAAAAAATTTTTTTTTAAATTTTTAATTGACAATTTATTTAAATTATATAGACAGTATATATACAAACAGAATTTAGTATAAACCATATTTATTTAAATCCTAATACTTTTTTTACAATAATTATTAAATTTTCAAAAAAAAAAAATAAACACTTTGATTTTTAACTATTATATAACGAATGATGGTAGATAGGTCCACATTCAATTTATAGTGATATACAGTGTTGAATTAAAATTTCAGATAAGATACATAAATTTTATTGAAAAAATATTTTTGTAATTTTAAATAGATATATAAAAAACCACAAGTAAATAAAATAAATAATATAAATTATATATTATTAAAAATTAATTTAAGATCACTAGTTTAATTTAAATATTATTTTTAAATAGAAATATTTTTGATTATATTTTAAATAGCTCTTTGTAAACTTTGTCATATCAAAAATATAAAATTAGAAAAAAAAAAGTATGTTGATATTTATAAATTATGATTTTGACAAAAACTTGAATTTAGTATAAGAGAAGCTAGTATTATTACATAGATATACAGTATATAATAATAATTGGAAATTTTTAAAATTTGAAATATCTGTACTATAGTTAAACCAGTTTTTTTAATTTAAATTTGTATTTGTCAGATAATTGAAATGGCTAGATAATTAAAATAGTTAATATAATTTTACAATAAAAATAAAATATATATAAATGGGATCAAATTTCAAATAAATTTCAACTTTCTAATATAATAATAGCAATGTTAATTAATTTTAAATTATTTGGTGATTTTTTTGAGAAATACTTGAGCTAAATTATAATGTTTTAACCTTAAATTCTTTGTATTTTTTTGAAAATATTTATAGCCCTTATATCAGTTTTAACAAACAAAGTAAATTTGATTAAAATATTTTAATTTTAAATTAGTAATAAAGAAAGTTATGACTAAATTATAGTTTAGGTGACGCCATTAATGATTAATAATGGAATTAAAAAATAGGTGTCATTTTTAATACAGTATATTTAACCTGAATTAAACATTGTAAAATGAATAAAATATTAAAAAATAGTACAAGTTCATGAAAAGAATGAATTTAGGAATTTGTTATATTTCAAAGAAAACAATTTTTCCTAAAACTAGGCAAAAAGTATTCTCAAAATGAAAATTGATACAACAGCCAAATACTTGTAGTATGTCTTGCACATTTGCAATCAGAATTACAACCGTTTTCCCATGTATGTCATTAATATACATTGAAAATAAGAATAAGCATTGGGGTAAAGTATCAGGGTAGCTATTGTATCAGAAACGAGCTTTCTAATTTATTGCAAAGAATATATAAAATTATACAAACTTAGAACTGATTGTAATTACGTTAATAACCTTGCCTTAAGTCCTATAAACTTTGGAAACGCAGTTAGAAATATCATATATGGAAATAACAAAATATTCAAGCGTGTATATTAATTGAGTTATAACACGAATAATTTTATTTATTTATTTAATAACTATATGTATGTAATGTTTTTTTTTAAATTTTCAAGTATAATTAAACCAGCCAATAACACAAAATAAAAGTTGGTTAAAATTTAGTATAGGAGACACCCATTGTTAATGTCACCTATGCTACATTTTAGCCTGAAAGTTAAATATCCGCTGCTAGGTTTAAATCTTTACAATAACTTCATGCTCTGAACATAATTCCTCTTGGATAAGCTTTGATTGTAAAAGTGTTTGACAAGTGGTTAACTATCCTTGCAATCGTCCTTTTACAAATAGTCATTGTTTCTATTGCTCTGCTTGATAAATTTTTTCGGGTTTGTAAGAAAGCTCTAAAATTAGCTTTAAATAAACGCCTGATTAATTTTTTCTATTTATGATTAACTGATCAAAACTTTTTTGTTGTCGTTTGTAAGTCATTTATTTGTTGATTTTTTTCGGCGAGATGTTGTTGCAACTTTTTTACTTCTGCTTCTAATTGCTCCAATTTTCGATCTTCAGGTATGCGGTAAGGTATTAGACATTGATTTCTGATTCTTTCTTTTTTGAATCCATTATCATAGTAAGATACTATTACTTGATCAAGTTGCCTTTCATTAACAAGCAATTTACAATATGTGTTCATAAAATTGCAGTGACCCTGAAAAATTAACCAGCATAACTCTTCATTTTTATTGACATCGATACTACCCAGATCATCGACATTGATACCACTCGAAAAAGTAATTTTCATAAGATTAGGAAATTGTGCGAAGCTTAGATCACCATTCATACGCCCATTAGGGATATTAACTGTGAATTGCACGCCTGAAAATCTAGATGAACCATAGCCCGCTATAATATTTATTTGCTTTATCTCTGTTTTTTGGGAGGATTCTAAATCATTTAATATGTTCATGGTTTAAGATTTTTATGAAAAATGTTACTGTTACTTGCTGAACTAATTGGTTTACAAAGTATATATATTTCAAATTTGTTTTAAGCCTTCAGGAGAGTTCGACAGAAAATAAAAAGTCCATTTCGGCAATTTGTGTTATTTTTATATCTCTAGATACTATAAATTATAGGCGTAGCCTATTCCTTTTCTAAAAAAAATCAACCAAAATATAGTCAATCCGATAACAAATCAAATGTACAGTCGTCCCACAAGTAACGCCATATAATCACATGAAAAAGTAGATACTTTTGATATTCCGAGTCTCACGCCTTTTCTGTTTACTCTTTTGATTATCAACAAAACACTAGTTCAATATGGTGCGTTTTCACACTCAATTAACTAACAAAGACATTTAAAAAAGATACAGCAAAATGTATAATAAAATTTACTATATACTGTATATATTTATTTAAGAAAGTTCAAAATTAAAGCTTTAAAATGGATACTTTTTTTATTATATAAAAACATATAATTATAAAAATATCGACAATTTAATATATTCTTGGAAATTTTTATTTTTGAAATTAGAAATTTAAAAATAAGATGATAATTTGTTATGTAATTATCTTAAAAACTAATCTTAAAATTTTAATAAAGTTGTATAATAGAGTCAAAACTTAATTTTAAACGAATATCTTTTATCGTATAAAATTATATAATATAAAAACATTAATGGTTTAATTTATTTTTGAAAAACCAAACTTATGAAAATTCAAAATTCAAAAATAAAATAATGACCTTCTTATATAACTTTTGTAATAGCTTTTTATTGAATTTGACAAATCTTATATTAAAACTTATGGCCTAAATTTTTAAATTAATTTTTTTATTAAACAAGAAATGCATAATTATAAATACATTAATATTTAATCTTTTAAAAAAAATTTAAATCTAAAATAAAATAAATTGGATTAATTAGATAAAAAAAAACTCTTTCCCACTTCCTTTTTGGTATTTGAAAAAAATTTTTTTAAAAAAATTTGAGATGTTTACTTTTTTTTACCTTTCTCTTTCCCTTTTCTTTATCTTTCTTTTCTATATCTGTTTATTTATCCTTTATTTCTCCCTCTTTCTTCTATATACTTTTTTATACTTTATACTCTTCTATTTTCTTTTTTTCTTTTTTCTTGCTAAAGCTAAGTTTTTCTTTCTCCTTAAAGATTTTATTTTTTAGACCTCTCACTTTTTTAAAAACTTTATCTTTACAACATTACTCCTCTGGCCAGTTGGTTTTTTTTTCAAGAACTATATTAAGAAATAGTACTTCTCTTAGGACATGGACTTTAGAAAAATTTTTTCTATTACTTGTCAAAAAAAGAACAAATAGTTTATCATTTCCAAAAAATTAATAATTATTTATTACCAAATTCAATATTATTTATTGATTAATAGTTAGACTAAATATATTCAAAAAACCTCTATAAAACTATTATTACTTGAAAGTATTCAAGAAATTGCATTTCACAGTATTTAAAGTAAAATAGTAATTAAAGTCAATACAATTAACAATATATTAGATTAGTTGTAAATATTATACTAGTGATTGAAAAACTTAAAAATATAATATATAATAATCAGAAATTCTAGTTACTCTTATAAATAAGCTAGTAATAACAACAAAAAGTTCCTTACTTACTTTTTAAACAATATAAGTCTATTGTATAAGATTAGATTTCAGTATTAAAAAAACCAATATAAACTTTATCTATAAAACACTTCTGTTATATTTGAAGTATAAATATGTTAAAATTTTTTTAATTTGAAGGCAAACTTGTATAAAGTGGTTATAGCATCTTTATATAAAAAGATATTTACTATTCACCACCTTTAATATTATTTTACTTATTATACATATATATCAAGTCATATTTAAAAAATAGGTATATTAATCTTAATTGTAACTTAAAGGTTAAACTGTATATATTAGCTGCAGTACTTTTGTATAATTAAATATTTATTTTTCTTTAAGTAACTAGATATTATTTAAGATAATATAGATTTTGGAATTTTTGTTTTTTTGTATTTTTTGAATATTATCAAAAAAATACAATAGTATGGTTATTTTATATAAGTCTTGTATTAAAATTTTTTTAACAAAAAAGAACATATATTATATTATAAATATTATATCTTGTTTTATAAGTAAAAATATAATAAATATAATAAAGCATGATAACTATTTGTTTTTTTAAAAAAATTATATTATTAATCAATATCATATAGTTTATATAGTTTAAAATTTAAAATTAAAATTTTAGAATAATAGATTTTTACTTCAAAATTATATTAATTTTTAAAAATAATATCTATATCAAATTAATATTTATAAATATTTATTTTAATAATACTTTATAATTATAATTTTAATTATAAGTCAAAATTATATTAAATATGATATAATATTTTTATTTAATTATATAATTGTACAAGTATTATGACTCTTTCCGCCGATCCTTTTGCCAACACAAAAAACAGACGTTCCAAGAAAATTTTATATTTCCTTGTAACAAAGTCTATACACTTTCA